AAAAAAAAAAAAATACAGATCATGATTCCCATCCCTCAGGGCTACTGAGAAATTTCTAAAGCACCTAGCTCAAGCCAGGTGTGGTGGCTTGCTCCTGTAATCCCAGCTACTCAGGAGCTGAGGCAGGAGGATCCCTTGAGCCTAGGAGTTCAAGACCAGCCTGGGCAACACAACAAGACCCTATCTCAAAAAAAATTGTATATAAGTATATAAAGTACCCAACTTAATGCATAGCACACAGCAGATGCTCAACAAATGTCAGTTCTTTTCTTTCTACCCCACACCCCATTTAAGTGAACTGGGAAGTATACGTAGTAAGCTGGTGCTAAGATCAAAATGCGGATGTTCAGGGAGAACAGAAAGCTAATTCCAAGACTATGGGTTTAAAAGTATAGGTGAGGCTCTGCCTAGGATTCTCCTACTCAACAAAAAATAATTTTGTTTTTTTAATTTTTCAGTCTGGGATGAGAGAGAAAGGAAGCCCAGATACCAGGCATACAAGTTGTCCCCAGGTTCATGAATACCCCAGTGAAATGCTCAGGTATGAGAAGCCAACCCAGCTAATCACCTGTGGTCCTCTTTCTGAATAGTATGGTCATGGAAATATCAATACAGACCAAGTAGTTTTGAGAATTTCTATAAATAACTATGAGCAAGAGCTAAGGACTAAGGTATTTACAGACCAAGCTATACTGAGACAGTTCTCTGGGACAGTGAGAACATTTAATGAAAGACTGAATACACACAAACACACTTAACTGGAGTTCTTGACTTATGTCTCAGAGAAGGTACGAAGAAGCACCTAATTATGCATTGGCCCTTTCATAAAAATGAGTGAGCAAACTGGTGACAAAACCAGCAGGTCTTCCGTCCTCAAAGCAGCAACTTTAATGGTTGATAAGTGGTTCAAGATACGGTTTCCGACAGAACCTCAGAGGGCCGTGTTGCATTCTCCCTCCCTCATTAGAGAGGACAGACACAGAACAACCCCCTTGCGACTGCGAAGATGGCATCAATTTGTCGAGCTCTCAAGCACATATCCAGGCAAGCCCATGTATTACAGTGTCTCTTGGCAGTCTTTACATTGACCAATTGACAATCCCAGGCAGCAGTGTCCAACAGAAACAGATTACAAGCCAAATATCCAATTTTAAATCTTCTAGTAGCCATATTTTGTAAAAAGTAAAAAGAAACAGTTGAAATTAATTTTGATAATATATTTAATTTAATCTAATATATCCAAAATGTTATATCAACATGTAATCATACAAAAATTATTAAAGAGATACTTTCTACTCTTTTTTTGTACTAAGTTTTGTAAATCTGGTGGGTACTTCATACTTTCAGCACAGATCTAAGGTATTTTCCCTCTCCTCAAGTACCAAGGACTTAAATTCCACTGGCGAAAATGCTGAACAAAGCAAAAATAAGAGAATGTCAGAATGAGACTGGCCAATCAGGCCAATGTTTCCATAAATTAACTAAATCTTCCAACAGTGTTAGAGAGGAATAAGTAGGTTTTCTTGGTACTTGGGACTTTTTTTTTTTTTTTAAACAACATCTTCTTTCCCCTTAGGCACCTCCCCAAGCATTGTTATCTACTGCTAGTTATTGGTACGACTCACCATCGCCCACCCAAGACTCACCTGCCACACAACAGACACTACCTGGGCAGTGGTCCATGTACGTTAAACACTATGTGGAATAAAACAGTGGCCGACGCGAATGGTACGTGCTGAAGCATTATAAGCTCGGTGTGTATTACCCTTGGTAAGAAATCAAAGGCTGTTAGATCTCTCTTACAATATCCACATTAGGGCCAAGTGAAGATCTTCCTCACAGACTAAAATCATGATCTGCCTTATGTCTATCAGGACCTGATTGA